CACTCTCTGCCAGCAGGTGGCGCTTAAAGCATTTCCTTGGTTACCGCTGTAAACAAAGCAGAGCTGCACTTATGAACTTTAATATGCATTATACAGAGGCAAGATGAAAAGAAAAAATACCATCTAAACTTTTCTAAAGACAGTAAGTTCCCCTCAGACATGCATTCCTATAAACACCTACACCTAAATGAATCGCGATTTGTTTAGCATCTCAACTGATTTGAATAGTCACATATTTGAATCGATTTTCAACCGGCTCGCGGTTAATCGTTACATCCCTACAGTCTATAAAAAATTTTAATCTAATTAATTACATGATGTTTTGATTAATTAATCGTAAAATAAATTTGTTTGTGAAAATACCCCCAAAAGATTATTTAAAGCTATTTTTGTGTTAAATGAGAAAGTATCAAGTAGACGTTACAAATTGTAGCTTTAGAAAGAATATTTTATTTGATTCAACATAAAATGTATTACACAAACATTTAGGCTGCAACGGCCTAACAAACTATGGAACATAAAAGAAGATAAGAGTAGTTTTTGTTCATGCAATGAAAGTCATTGGTAACCAAAACAGTCTTCAAAATACCTTCTTTTATATTCCACAAAAGAAAGTTTTTAAACAACATGCAGGTGAGTAAATAAAGACAATTTTAATTTTTTGGGTAAATGTATCCCTTTAATGTTTTTATTTTTATTATTATTATATTTGTTTTAATGAAATGATACTCTAAATAAGAAACTAAATCTGCCAGCAGTAAATGTCTTTGAGTCATTCATTCATTCGATTCGTTCAAACGGCTGATTCATTCAGAAACTAAACACGCTGTGTTGCTCGGAGACGCGTAACAATTCTGCTGTGGCTTTAATGTTCTCTGCAAAATTGAGCAAAAACACATAATATTGTGTTTAAAATATAACAATATCAACTTCTTACTGAACTGTTGTATAAAATCACATTTAAACTCGTGATATTTGGGACAGAATCAGCACTCGTATAATACTGCTCTCACTGCTCGTGTGATATCGCTTATCGTATGATATAAATATGAGACAAAAACTCATACAGGGATTTTTTTTGCACCAATATCTTGAATTTTAATTTATGAAATGTAAGATGATGTACAGGTCTGGGGGTGGAGCCAGTGTGTTAACTGCGCTAAAATATTTTAATCGCGTTATTTTTCATAATTAATTAACGCGCTAAACTGATAGCCTAGTAAATATAGAACCTAAAATGATATATACAAAAAGTATATTCCCTTACAAATGTGTTATATATATATATATATATGTATGTGTGTTTGTGTGTGCATATAATTACATATAAAATACAAAAATATCTATCAATCTATCTTTCATCTACATACAAATACATTTATAGATATAAATATATATAAATATACATAAATATAAACACACATACATAAAAATAAATAAATTTAATTTACAAACAATTTCTAAAATGTGTAAAAATACCATTTACACACCCACATATATATGTGTATATATATACACATACAAATTAAATATACTATAAAATAAAGTATATATATAATTGTCTATATACAATTAAACAAATGTATACACACACACATATATATATATATAAAAACGGGGTTCCGTTTTTTTTCTGGACTCCTTTTTAATGGTTAAATGAAATTGTATTAATCAAAAAGCATGTCTAATTAATTAAAACCATGAAGCTTAAACAGTTTAACATCAATTTATTAAAAGTTTAACAAAAATTACATGTTTAGGGCCCTATGAAATGTTTTATTTTTTCTCACCATATTATTTATATTTTTTATTGTTACCAAATTCTGTGTTTTAGCATGTCTAATTATTTGAAAGCATAAAAACAAGTTTAATTTATTCTTGCAATAGCCTAATGATTTTTTCCCCCTCAGAAATTCTGTGTTGTGTATTTACATTTTTTAAGGCATAAAACAGCCATTTAATTTATCTTTTAATTAATTGGAAAATAAAAGGGATTTAATATCACAATTAAAACATTGAAGAAATATTGTATGATTATTCCTTAAAAATAAGGTTTTCATAATTTTAGTAGTAGCCTATTACGTACATTCTACTGAACAATAGTAATATATTTCTGCCGCAATGTCTTCAAGTTAGTTTATTTTGACGGGTTTCCGTGAATACCTTTACATTTCTGTGTGTATATGATATGAGGATAGTTTTACTCAAATGAAACGGTAAAATGCTGATGAAGTGTCTCTCACAGCTGTTCTGGAGATGTTGTTCATGTATTTATGTCCTCATCAGTGATACAGCAGACGTTAATACCGCGAGCTTCAGTACGAGTCGTAAACAAAACCGTGCATCTGCGCCGTTCATTAACACATAGACACGCAGAATTCATATTTAAATAGACGTTTTGCGGCTTACAAATACTAGTGGGAGTGTGTGTGTGAGTGTGTGTGTGTGTGTGCGCGCTCATGTGTGTGTGTGAGTGTGTGTGAGTGTGTGTGTGTGTGAGTGTGTGTGTGTGTGAGTGAGTGAGTGAG